TGTGTGTGTGTGTGTGTGTGTGTGTAGAGAGAGACAGTTTTCTTCATCGTGTTCGTGTACGTGTGTACGCGTGTAGGTGAACAAGACGCGCTCAGCCACGCGGAGAGAAGCGGGTAACAGCGTCGATGGATCATTCTGCTCTCTTCAGCGGAGAGAGATCGATCGACCTAAATAAACCTGGCGCGGCGAATCGTGCGGCAGCCGTGCCACACACACACAATGTGCTCGAACTCGTTCGTCCGCCGAACCGAGAATCGACAGACGGGCCTCCTCTGAGTAACGAGTTACGACCCACCCCTTCGAATCCATCCCCCCGCCCTCACGTTTCGGCTTCGATAGGCCGCTCCTCTGGGATCACACCGTGGCCGTGACTGATATTCGTTAAATTGCATGCACTCCATCTAATGGACTCGACTCGATCATTCCTTCGATAAACTCACTGGATCGGTTGTTCCACCCTCTTCTCATTGAAAGAATAAACTAATTCTAAGAAGTTGTACGAAATCTCAACGACCGAAACGAATTCGAGCACGCACTCGGCCACCTCCATCGACGAGTTAGCCCGTTCTCGATCTTACGACTAATCGGTAGAACGTACAAAAGATACTTATCCCGATCAGCGTCGATTCCTCCCACGACGAGAAGCACCAGGTGCCGATGAAGCTTGTTCCCGAAGAGTTTACGTAATTCGTCGAATCGACAGAAAAAAAAAAAAAAAAAAAAAAAGAAGAAGAAGATGAAGAAAAGTAATCGATCCTGCTGAAGTGAAGTCTTGCTGCGAGATATTCCTTCAGAAGGGCGAATTCGAATCACGAAGATGACTCGTTCCTTCTCGTTGTTTGCTCTCTCTTTCATCGGCACGCCGCTCGCTTCAGTTCACCGCTCAGACGACCTCCAGGTCGAGATTCTCGAGGTACTCCGGTGGCAATTGCAAGGCTTCCATTCGCATTCGTTACGAGCTACGTTCACTCTCGGGCCAGCCGAAGAACGATGCTTGCCTGCATGCAGGGAGAGTGCAACTTTCGTTCTCGAAGCTCTCGAAGCTGAACCAGGAAGAAAGAAGCCAGCGCCAGCTGCGTAAGTGACGACAGAATATCAGGCAGAATCTCGAAACGCGTGCCCGAGCGCATCCAGGCGATCGAACCGCTTCTCTACCACGGTTATTCCTCAGGCCAGCCGAGATCCTCGCCCACCAGCTCGTAGAATCGTTGGTTGTGTTCGTTGAAGAACCTCCTCAGCTTGGTGACCACCAGCGGGCTGACGCGCGGATGCCGTCTGCCTTTGCTCTCCTTCAGGCATTTCTCCGAGGTCTCGTTGCGCAGGCAGTAGAAGCCCTTCGTGTGATTGAAGTAGAAGTTGTGCCTGCCGATACGTGGCTCTAGCCCGAGGAACTTCTCGATCCTGCGCAGCTGCGGCACCGGGTCCTCGATCAGCTGGTCGCCGTTCACGATGAGGATCTGCTCCCTGGAGAACACTTCCAGCCATCTGTGCATGTACGTGTGGTACAGCGAGATGGCCACTGGCCTGTACGACTCGTTGATGCTGCCGTCTGGTCGTATCACTAGCTCCTCGAAGCTACGCGATGTCTGCTGCTGTTGTTGCTGTTGTTGTTGTTGTTGTGGTTGTTGTTGGACGCTTCGCGGTGTTCCGTTTGTCAAGGTAGAGGCGGTGGCCGCGTGCGTTCGCAGCTGAGTGTAGTCGGATATCGCTCTGGTCACCGGCTCGCGCACTATCAGCAGCAGCTTCACGCTCGCGTTCATCGCGCGGATTCTCTCGGGCACCTGCGAGCAGAAATTTTTTTTCGTCCGTCAAGGTTAATCCGCCAAGGTTAAACCTAGTCTAAAAAGGGACGATAATATCAGGATCAGTTAGGAAGACTAATTTAAAAAGCACGATAACTTCAGGGTCGATTAGAAATACTAACCTAAAGCTAATTTAAGAAGAATGATAATATGTTGATTAGGAAAACTAACCTAAATCTAACTTAAAAAGCACGATGTTATCAGGGTCGATTAGAAAAACTAGCCTAAACCTAATTTAAGAAGAACGGTAATACGTTGATTAAGAAAACTAACCTAAATCCAATGTAAAATGGACGATAATATCAAGGTCGATTAGAAAATTAAACCTAACCTAACCTAACCTAAAGCTAATCTAAACCTAACTTAAACTAATCTAATTAAACCTAAACCTAACTTACAGAGGACGATAATATTAGAGTCGATTAGGAAAACTAACCTAAACCTAACTTAAAGCTA